GTGTGAATGTGAGTGCGTGAGAGAGACAGACAGACAGATAGACAGACAGACAGACAGACAGACAGACAGACAGACAGACAAAGAATGAGTGGGTGAGTGAGTGTTGACGTTCGGTCTGGTTCTCGGCGTCAGCAGGGTTTCATAAGATCGGGGGGGATATTTGTTAGGAGTATATTTTTAGTGGAATAGTTAATGTTTATTATTATTATTATTATTATTATTATTATTATTATTATTATTATTATTGGTCGTAATAGTAGTTTTTATTAAAGATCTTAGACATAGATGCAGAGAGAGAGAGAGAGAGAGAGAGAGAGAGAGAGAGAGAGAGAGAGAGAGAGAGAGAGAGAGAGAGAGAGAGAGAGAGAGAGAGAGAGCGGAGGGGAAGACAGACAGACAGACAGACAAAGATGGTTTCAGAATGCCTCCATTATATATTCGTATGGATCTACTTGCCGTCGCATATCCCTTCAGTGTCTCGTGTTTCGTATCATCGAGGCGCATTTGTCACCCCGTTTATCATGGCAAACCAAGACCTATGGGGCGGGAGGGGAGAGGGGAGAGGGGGGGAAGGGGAGAGAGATGGGACGAGTGCAATACAGTCATCCTGCGTGTACTCAAGGTCATGGCCTTGGGGTACTCTAGGATTGGCTGTGACGTAGTGGTGGCGCGACGCACAGACGGATGTTTGTTGTTGGTGTTGGGATGGGGGCGGGGTGGGGGTAGTGGGAGGGAGAGGGGTGAGGGGAGGGGTGTGGGGAGAGGGGTGAGGGAGGGGTGTGGGGAGAGGAGAGGAGTGAGGGAGGGGTGGGGGGAGAGGAGAGGAGTGAGGGAGGGGTGAGGGGGGTGGGGATGGGTGGGGAGAGGAGGTTAAGGGAAGAGTGGGGGGGAGGATGGGGAGGGAGAGGTGGAGAGGGAGGCTGTTTAAAATGTAACCTATCACTTTGCAAGAAGGACTTAGTGAACAGCCTGCACGTACTTCACTGCGAAGGAGGGAGAAGGAAGGAGGGAAGGGAGGGAGTGGAGGGAAAAGACGGGAGTGGAGGGATAAAGAGGGGGGCGTGTGCGTGTTTGGCGACAGGCTACTATCTCGTACTACTAGCACACGCTCCACTATTTATATTCATTGACGACTTCGGGGCGCCAAAGCAAGGGATGCTTACCCCCCTCCCTCCCTCCCCCCCTTGCCCCTTCCCATTCTCTGAGGCCCTGTGCCCCCCATCCCACCCCCCACCCCGTCGAGTGGGCGTATCTGACAAGGGTATGACGAGATTATGGTGGGGATAGGGGGGGGAGGGGAGAGGGGTAGACTGATGAATAGGAGATAAGAGAGAATTAGAAAGTGGGGAGTTAGAGATAAGGGAGGATGGGAAAGACAGGAGACACGTAAAAAAAAGTAAATGAAGTAAGATAGGTGTGTGTGTGTGTGGCGGCGGCAGGGGGATGGTGGGGGGGGGGCGAGGGGGAGAGAAAGAATGGCACCATCTTGGCGCCTATGGGGTGGGGATAGGGTGGGGGGAAGGGGGAAGGGGGGTAGGAACGTCATCGTGGGAAATGCCAGAATTGCGCGGTCGTGGGGAAGACACCCGAACACGTCTTCAAGTCAAATCAAGAAACAAAGTAGCGGCGGAAGGCGTGTGTGTGTGTATCACTTTACATGAATGGCGATGACGCAGAGCCTTATCCTCCCTGCCCTTCACCCTCCGGCCTGGTGTGACCTTGGGGCGAGAGGTAGGTAGGCCTATAGAGCGCCGTGATCATGTGACCGTTGCCAAGGACGGGAATGGGTCGTTTGTCAATGGTAGTTGCGGTGACGTATTTGCACGCTCGCGGTGTCCGATTGTTTTTTTCTTCTTTTTAATCCCGCGTGCGCTGCGCTTTCTTTTCTTTTTCTTTTTTTTTTAGCTTTGTTGATTTGCTGTGTGTCTTCCGTTTTCTTTGTCTTGGTGTTTATTTTCTCTCCCTTTTTTAAGCGAAAACAGACACCTATTCAGACAGAAGGAAAAAAGATGCATTGCCATTACACAAGAGGAAATGCCAATGCAGAGGATTGTGCGTGCGTGCGTGGGTTTGCGTGCATGATCGAAACCCCCATAGGAACAGGCAGGCCAGGCCATGGCAATACCTACGTACGCGCCATGGGTTCGAAATTGGAGATCATCTTTAACTCCCATGAGCTAGCGCTGTCTGTCTGGCCGGCGTGGGTAGGGGAGGCGGGAGAGAGAGGGGGGGGGATGGAGGAGGGAGGGGGGGAAGGGAGGAGGGAGGGGAAATGGAGGATAGAGATGGGGAATGGAGGAGAGGGGTGGGGATGGAGGAGAGGGGTGGGGATGGAGGAGAGAGGTGGGGAATGGAGGAGAGGGGTGGGGAATGGAGGAGAGAGGTGGGGAATAGAGGAGAGGGGTGGGGATGGAGGAGAGAGGTGGGGAATGGAGGAGAGGAGTGGGGAATGGGGGGGAGAGAGAAAGGGGAAATCGGGGGGGAATGGGGGAGAGATGAA